TCTCTCTCTCTCTCTCTCTCTCTCTCTCTCTCACGTGCGCACGCGCGCGCAACAGCTCAGGGTCTCTCTCTCTCTCTCTCTCTCTCTCTCTCTCTCTCTCTCGCGCGCGCGCGCGCGCGCAACGGCTCAGAGTCTCCTGAGCCCTCCTCCACTCAACGTGGCTCGTTGCCACCTGATCTGAAAATCTCACGGCCGTAGTAGGCCTCTTTTTTTTTTTTCTTTTTCAAAAAAAAAATAAAAAATTTCCGATCGAAAAAAAAAAGATAAAAAAAAAATGGGCAGGTGCCCCTTTATAGTCCCCACACGTCTATAAAAAAAAAAGTACCCCTACCAGGCGAAAAAAAAAAAAAAAACGGAGTTCCCACTCAGCGTGAACTCGGTGAACTACCGGCGTTCACGTTTTCCGTGAACGGTGGCCGGCCCCCGTTCACAACCCCCGTGAACGGTGAACGGTGAACGGGGGTACGGCACTGATGGACCTCCCCGTTCGAAAATCAAATTTCAAATTGGGTGATGGACGTCACGACAGCGATGCGGGGCAGGTGGAATCCATATCTCTGACGGTGGAAACGGGCATTCGCAGCGGCACAGTGGAGTCCTTGTACGTCATCACAAATTTGTGAGCGCCCCGCGAAGGTCCATCGCCATCGCCTCTGCATGCCGCCACGCCTCTGTGTTGAGTCGAGCACACGCGTGGAACGTCGTCGGGGACTTGGCGTTGAGGTTAGGGTGACCATGGCGAGTTGGTAGGCTGTTGTATTTTCGTGGTTCATGAGCATTGCAACACACGTGCCGATGGAGGGTGGCAGCAACGAGGGATGTGCGAAGTTGACGACGATCGAGAAGACGGCTGTGGCGGCGGCCGTGACGGCCGTGCTCTTTCGTTGTCAACAGGAGAGGGCATTGGGCAAAATGAGAGTGCAGATCCGTGCGCAGAGGAGGAAGACGCTTCATCAAGTCCCGGTCGAAGGGTTGGATACCGTGGCCATCACCAAGGCTGCAGTGCAGGTTTGCTGCGCCAAGGGTTGCAATGTTCTTCCACGAGCGACGCCGAGGTGGTGGATGAAAAGGAGGAAGGGGGGGGCATGGGAGGATTTTGGGCAATGCGATGATGCGACGGAGGAGCACTTCTGGGAGAAGCTGTGTATGTCGCCACGTGTCTTTCGGGCGATGGCGATTGCATCCAGTGTGGACGAACGCCCGCGGGATGCGCTGCCGATGTCAATGTCGACTGCAGTCGGTGCCGATCCCTCGTCTTCGCTGCTGGAGGACTTCGATAGAGGTCGACCATCAATGATAGAGGAAGCACACGTGGGACAGGAGGACCACGACAAGCAAAATTGTGACTACGAGCAGCAGTGACAACCTTCAATAGAGGTCGGCCATCAACAACACGTACGACAGGGCCGTAATTCTATGACGACTGTGAAGGTCCACCGAACGGCGACGATGAAGGGAGAAGACGGTAGAGGACAGCATACGACACACACACTCTAACGGGTCATACACCCTTGCACTGCGAGCTGGGCCGTGGCCTGCGCGGTGGCTTCTGGAGTGGTCCACTGAAGACCTGCTCTTCGCCTGCCGCCCGTCCATGCCGACGTCCTTCTTCACAGACCACCTCTTACGTGTAAGTTCAGGCACCCTGCCGAGGATGCAGACATGGAAGAAGACGACAAGGACAAGCAAAAAGATGACCAGGACCAGCAGCAGCAGCCTTCGAAAGACGTCTGCCATGAAAGGCACGTGGGGATGGCAGTAGCTAAACGACAACGGTACACCTCAGCAAACAACGACGATGAGGGCTGCAAACGGCAGACCGAAGCATGGGACAAACGCCTTGTAACGTTTTTCACTGCGGAATACAGTGGGCGATCGGAGCAAGGGGGGTCGATTGAAGTATTCAACCTTGCCGACCATTCGACCCCTTTCCGTTTGTCGGCACGCACTCCGAGGGAGAACACTAGTCGATGATGTCCGCGTGGGCCGGCCGGCCACCAACGGTTACCGTTGTCGTAAGGTTCCTGGAAGCCGAACATTGAAGACCCAAGATGTCTGTGCGCTGCCCGCTAGGAACTCCAATGGACCAGCTGACAAAAATTTCTTGCCGACGACAGGTGCCCTTGTCACTCCGATTATCGCGGATCCTTGACCTCCAATGGACCTCGGGAGGTCCCTTTGGGAATGCCACCAAATGGTCGTAGCCCAAGGATGCCCCGAGGACTCCCCAAGGAAATGTTTTCACATTTTTTTTTCGTTTTCATCCCCGAGGATAGGTGGAACGAAATTGACCTCGGGGGATTTACTCGCCCGAGGATAGGTGGAACGAAATTGACCTCGGGGGATTTACGCGCCCGAGGACAGTCTAACGAGCCCCGAAGTCCCACTAGCAGCGTTGAATTTCTTCAAATGCCCAAATCTGGACGTGTTTGTGGAGGAGACTATACACTATTTTTTGCACCTATTCACAAACACGTCTAAATTCGGGCGTTGAGGAAACTCAACTCTGCTAATGGGACCTGGCCCCTGCTTCTTGAGACATTTGAGCTTTCACAAAGATTTCTTACATTTTTTATGTGACAAGGGTTGATTTGTATGGCAGAATCTACCCACCAACAGACTGGAGCAATCAAGCAGTGCAACGGTGCAACCTCACAGTCTAGGTGTCGCTCGTATACTCCCCGGAAATGTGCGGAAATGTGATTTGCCCCGAATTCCCCAGTGATATTTTCTCTGTGAAAAAGGGGAAAAAAAAAAAGGTATATTGTGTGTGATTTTTTTTTTTTTTTTTTTGGGGGGGGGGGAGGGCAGCGGACAAAGCTCATACTATTTGTGGGGAGCAACACGTGCTGGGAACAGGACCCGGCTCCACTTTTTATTTATTTTTATTTTTATTTTTGGGATGCTCCACATTTGAAAACATATTTGAGAACATCTGCAGAACAAATTGAGATATAATCCCACGTCTGGATTCTCTTTTTTTTTTTTTTTTTTTTAACATCCCCATGGGTCCCTCTTAGGGATGATAAGGGCATCGCCAGTAGTAAGGCCCTGTGGCGGATGGCTGGTCCGTGTAATTGACCATGTATAAGGTGCCTCAAATCTTAGAAGCCTTTTTCTTTTAGAGACAACAGCGCCAGAGTAATGTGCCCTGTTCCGAATTCGAGGAAATAACAGGACACTGCAGTCTGCAGGTGTGGGTGGACAGCAGTTGCAAACTACAAGAAAAAAACAGATACCGATACTTGCCAGTTCAACAATTGGCAAAAATGGGAGGTACTGGTACTGGTTGTTTTCCGTGGGCTGGGCCGGGAGCCAGTACCACCGTACCGGTATCGGCTCCAGTGGCTCATTGTTGTTTTGTTTTGTTTTTTCCCTACAGCTGCTTTCACGGCCATAGCATCGTCCTCTCCTCCCCCCCCCCCCATCTGGCCTAGATGTCTCGGACATGGCCCAGTCATGGGAAGGGATTCCTTTTTGCCGGGCCCAGCCACGGGCGTGGCCTAGACATCTCGGTCGCGGCCAGCCATGGGCGTGGCCTATACATCTCTGTCGCGGCCCAGAGTAGACATCTCGGCCATGGCTCATCCACGGGCATGGCCTACCGTCTTCCCCCGAACATAACGCACCCTAAAAATGAATGTATACAAGCTAAATTTGCAGTTTGGTACAGCCGTAATCAGGGTGCATTGTGTTCGGGGGAAGACGGTAGGTGTGGCCTAGGCGTAGACATCTCGGCCGTAGCCCAGCCAATCTGAGGGTGTGGCCTCCTTGGAAAAGAACAACAACAGAAACAACAAAACAACGGGAAAAAAAAAAGCAACCAGTGGCAGCAAGATTCTTCCACTTTCAACTTCCGACCGGGTAGAAAGCAAGGAACATACCGAAACTGGTTGCCCCTATTTGGGAAAAATATATATAAATAAATTAATTAAACCACCAGTACTTGGCCCAGCTATTGGCCGCGGAAAAAAATAGAGTAGAAACGTTTCTAGTTGGATGAATTTGGGCGCTCCTGTAGTGGCCCGTACGTTTCTGAAAATCGCGTAGCGTCAACGCTACCCTACGTGACTTTAGGAAGTACTGGTGGTTTAATTAATTAATAAATCAACAAAGCTGTTGTGTTTTGCAGTTTCTAATTGTCCTTGGCCCAGACCTCCGCCTGTGAACTCAAAACTCAACACGGCACGCCCGCCTAGTTATTTCTTTCTTTTATTATTTCTTTTTGAAAACTCTAGATTGCTGCGGCACACACACAGGTAAGTACTTTTTGTTTTCCTTTTCTTTTTTTCTTCCTGGAATGCAGGGGTTGCCCGGGCCCCTTCCCAAACCCACAAGACCTCCCCTTGCCGACCCTTCCCCCCCACGACTCCCCTTGCCGAACCTCCCCCCTTTTCCGCTCCGCTCAGTGGCGTTTTGAGGTAGCCGCAAACGCGGTCAAAAAAAAGTCCCAGACATGTGCATCCTTAAGCTAAGTTAGCACACCCCAGATTGGCCACGGCCGAGATGTCTCGGCCACACCCCAGATTGGCCAGGGCCAAGATGTCTCAGCCACAGCCGAGATTTAAGGAGGGGGGGGAGGGGAAGGAACGTGGCGCGCGACCAGGTGTTGGATAGTATAAAAGGGGCAAGGCTTGGGAATGGCCTCATGTAGTTTGCCAGCGTTGTGTGATCTGGCCTCCTGACGAGTCCAGTGCGGGTCAGACGAAATGCGTCGGGTTTGGGCCACTCGGTTGGTGTATGGTTGATTGCTCCATGCTCATCGGTTTCTATTGTCTAAATTTGTGTGCGCAAGGGAGCTTGGATCTATCGGTGTATCTGGATTGCTCTGTTCTCATGCTTTTTTTGTTTTTTTTTCAGGAGGGAAGCTCCAGTCTATTCGTGGGGAGCATCACATGCTGGGAACCGGGCCCAGCATCCCATCTGAATTTGTACAATTTGGAACATAATTGGAAATTTTAGCAGATTTGGATGCTCGTTGCTTAATCATTGCCTCCAGGCGCGAAATTCAAATGGTCCGAAATTCGCAAATCAATTATAAATCAATCACTCCCTCCAGGCATCGAACCTGCAACCTGCTGATTGAAAATCAGAACCCTTACCACAAGGAAAACGGAGCTGGGATGAAAGTTAAGGCCCAAGATGAGCACTTAACCCCACCCCAGCATGGTCAGTACATCACATACAGCCATGACCCGGTGTACCCAGTCACACATCAACCAAATGGCCCCCTTTTTTTTTTTTTTTTTTTTTTTTTAACCGGGCCCAGTGCCCAAGGCTGATATTACCAATAATAAGATTGAGGCCGGGGTCCTCACATTCTGCCCGGAATGAACATACGGAAACCGCTAATAATGACCATGAGGATACTAATGACACTAATTAATGACAAAGAAAAATATGCTATATCAGCTATTTTGGCATCCTAATCCTAGAACAACTCCCTGCCCTCCCTATACCAGGACGCTGTACCTCAAAGACAAAACCACCTAACTAATTGTCAATCATAGCTGATTTCTTCTCGCTTCATTGCAGCCCCCTCTGGTTCACCACTAGACTGCCTTCCACCCTCAGCAAACCCCAGATCTCTCTACAAGGCCTCACGCTCCTGCTATTAACAGGTTACAGGGCAACGCCCCAGCTCCGGCCAGCGTCGTTCTGGCATCGGCAAACCAAGGGCACAGAACAGAACAACTCAGTTGAAATCAGTCCAGGTTCAACCATCTCTGAAGTCCTATATCCCGAATGTGGAAGAATGCTAGATGCTGCCAAAACTTCAGAACACCAAAAAACTTAATGTAACAATAATCAGATGATGATGAAGATGATGACGATGATGATGATGATGATGATGTTGATGATGATGATGATGCTATATCAGCTATTCTGGGCTCCTAATCCCAATACAACTCCTAGCCCTCCCTGTACCAGGACACTACTACAGAGACAGAAACAACCTGACCAACATCAACCATAGCTCATCTCTTCTCGCCTCCTTTCAGCCCCCCCCGGTTCACCACTGGAATGCCTTCCACCCTCAGCAAACCCCGGATCTCTCTACAAGGCCTCACACTCCTGCTATTAACAGGTTACAGGGCAACGCCCCAGCTCCGGCCAGAGTCATTCTGGCATCGGCAAACCAAGGGCACTAAACAGAGCAACTCAGAAGATATCAGTCCAGGTTCAACCATCTCTGAATACTATATCCTGGATGTGGAAGAATACGAGATTCAGCCAGAATTTCAGACCACCAAAAAGCTTAATATAACAATAATCAGATGATGATAGCCGAGAATTTATGCACACCTCCATTCTCTCCATTATCCTATCTATCCCTTTACTCTAATTTGCCCCCACTGGGATTTGATGCGCAGCCCCAGAAAAGAGTATTCCTCACAATCTGCCCATACCCCCTCCAGGATTCCACCTCCCTCCTAATGAA